ACGAGGCTTTAGGTTTTGGTTTGAGCTGGTTCCTATTTGACTTGAGAAACTAAATTTGTCTTAAGCTTGCTTAATAACGCATGTTATTAACTTTTTCTAAATTTTTGTCATAGGTTTTGATCGCGAGAAAGTAACGTGATTAGCTTTTTAATTATTTATTTTTAATATAAAAAGCTTAGTGATCGATCGATGTATTTAAATTAAAATTTTTTACGTAAAATAAATTATAATTTAATATGGTGATATATACACGTTAAAGAATTGCCAATGCAAATGTAGATTACATGAAACTTCGAAGATTTATTTTATTTATATTCTCGATTTATTTCTCAAGTTCTGCACCTTTCTCTAAAATTTCTTAGATGAGAGAAAGCTTCCGTCACAGTAATCAAAAGCTTCAGATGTTTTTTGTTTTGTAGATTCGCTATCAAATTGCATACATCTTGGTTAAATTGTAAGTTCGAAGCCATGGCAAAAACGAGGTGTCGGGTCAACTTATTTAACATAACAACCAATCACATGTCAGTGAGATTGTGACATGTGATCAAAAATCGGAAAAATATCACCTACATGACGTGAAATCGGTCAACAAAAATATATTTTTCTTTTCACTGCACGTTTTCTCATTATTAAGGAAAGTAAAAATATATTACTTCTGGCGACCCACAATATCCAGCTTCCGTATGGCAGAGCTAGCTCTATTGTCTAGTTGATTCCTGCGGCCGTTGTTTAGAGCAAGGCGTAGGCTATCCTCTTTGACGTATTGTTTTGAACAATCCTCATTGTAGTTCACGCGTGCGTTCTTGTTTCTAGTATATTGGATGTAATACTTCCTACGCCTACAGTGCGAATCATAGTAAATGCATTATGTGCCTCTCTGTAGCTGAGGTTTGGTAGAGATTGGGGGGGCTATCCTCTTTGACGTATTGTTCTGAACAATCCTCATTGTAGTTCACGCCTTCCACTCTCTATTCAGAAAGCATTGCATCAAGCCAGTCCTCTGCGTTGTGTCTGCCTGTCTTTACTCTTGCATCTTTTTTTTGTCATGCTAATCATATTTCATGAATTTCAGTATATTATGGATTTTGAAAATCATATTGTAAATTACTTTCGGTTGAATAATTATTCCAAATGGAATGTATTGGAAGTCCTACACTACTTATCAAATAACATTGACTTTACAAGTGAAAGCATGAATGAAATTGGTGACTCCTTAAAAAAACAATTAGAAATTTTATCCGATCATTCTAGTCTTCTCCAGGCAGCAAAAAACAAGGCCATCAAGCTTCGTAAAAACCTGCAGGAAACTCTGACAACACGAGGAGAAGTTTTAAAGTTTATTGAAAGTCAAAATCTAAAATTTGCCGAGGTTGGTAACAATTATCTACTGTATGTACTTTATAGTTAAAGATTAACTTTAATATATTGTCTCATAGAATCGCTATAAAGTAAATGTTGAATTAAGTGTCGTTACAGACAAAACGGCTATGACAGAAAAGACTAGTGAAAAATTTGCAAGAGTAAGAATTAATTATTTAATAAATTCCTGGAAAATAAACCAATCGGATAATTTTATTGAGATCTCTTGATATACTCCAGTCTTTGAATAATGATCATGACACCAGGGGCTCTGAAAATCAAGATTCCATTACAAAAATACAGACTACTGTTAATAATGAACAAGAAGAAAACAATCAGGAAGAAAATAAACCAGAAGAAAATGAAGGCGGAGATGTAATTGTCGATGAAAATAGTGTTAGTAAAATTCGTCTCTAGTAATATTTTTTGTTGGCATTTTAGGAAAAATAATGTTTCTATTTTCTATAGACGATGTGTGTTAAGGATATTCTTGAAGACTCGATTCAAGTTTCATCCGTCATAAAGGAAGTCACAAAAATCTTTTTAAGTAAATTCCCTAAGACATCTGTAATGGATCTGCGCCCGAAATCAAAATTTTCTTTATTTTTGGACTTGGAACTTCAAAAAACCATTTTGCACGAAGTTTTTGATGAAATTGACAACTATATTACTGATGACATTCACGAATACCTTACATCGTTTTTCAATGAAGATTTCACTGCGCAGGGCTGGGATAATGCCATCAACAATATGGACTTCAATAGATGTGATTCAGAACACTTAAAGAATATTAAAAAATTAATACAGGAAACTTTACCTAAATTGTAAGGACAAGAGAGAACTTACGCAACTTATTATAGTAATATTTGTCCCACTACTATCTATTTTTTACTCGTTTTAGTTTAAAAGCGTTTTCCTTGGAGGATCTTAATCCGTTGAGGGATATTAAAGTCCTGGAAAAACCGCATCTTAACCAGTTTGTGCACCCTATAATTGACTCGGCATTGTGGAATTTGGCCAAGGTTAATTACATATAGTAAGTAGCTTTGAACCTATGTTTATCTACATAAATTATATTATGAATAAGATGGTTTTATATTATATAGTGGTGAAATACCTTTAAATGGTCTTGGAACTAGAATACGGGCCGACGGAGTAGGATTTCTCAATGACGTGGTAAATTACCCTATAATATGTGGTGAGGGAGCACGACCGGGAGCACCACAAAAAAAAACTGTGGATGACGATATCAAGAATGCAAGAAGTATGGCAGTATTATATAATAATATTGTTATAGAAGAAGCAGATGCACGCCGACAACTTTTTACAGACTTAAGAGTTTACGGCTTAACTGCTTTTAAAACTGAATTGTCACTGACAATGATGGACTTTAGAAGTATGTATTACATAAATTTGTATTGAAACATTTCATATAATCAGGAAGTTAATCATTCAATTCCAGGTGTACATAGGTTATTCGAGGTTGATCGTTTCGTCCTACCAAAAAAACTGGGTTGATATGCCAAACTTTGTGTGGTTATACGAGGCAGTAATTAAATGGGCTGTATGTACTTATATACTTTCATCATCTATCCGCATTTTATGGGCTCATCAAATTAACAATTGCTTTTTTGTAAATATAGTTATGTGTTAATTCAACACGAAATGGTTTGATCGAACATAGAAAGAAAAGAAGAGTGAGCCGATACTCTGAAATTGGCATCGCAAAAAAATTAGCACCGTTAAGGGATTAACATGAATAAACTTGATTGTTTCGGGAATCTGATAGTTAGATTATGTAGAGGGATCTAGTGGATTCATATTTGCTCTATGCAATTATGTTTTGTTCAGTGTTCTCTTGGAAATTAATAAATTCTACTTAATCATAACAGTTAAACATTAGCATAAATAAGACCCAATTCTCGATGTTCCAGAATAACTTAGCTATGTATGGGTCTTGTAATACCAAACTTACTCTTGAGTAGATCCTGGTCTTGCTAAATTATTTGGGTCACCTCTATGAAATATTCGTATTTTTGGTGTTGCATTCTTGAAGTTTTCATAAAAAAATCATGTGAGCGTTACAATTTATAACGCTGAATAAATCAAATGACTATTCGCTTTACATACATCTTAATTCATTATTTTAACTTATATCAAAAAAATTTTTCAGAAAAATACACGTATAATTGCTTTATTGATATAGATAAAATATAATTGCAAAGCTCCCCAATTTTTATAACACGGTTTTTCACACCCTTTGGAAATCACGTGATAACAAACGAGAAACTGTGCAAAATATTGCATAATTTATAATGTAGATATGTTAGGTCTTACTTTATTATCAATAAAAAATCAATATGATATACTGTATGTTCACCAATTTTTTCAATTACCTCTTAATATCTCCACTTCATTAATATTATCAAATCTTTTAAAAGTAAATTAAAAATTTTTTTCTATTCTTGGATTATATAATCTTTCAACCTAAATTTTATGACATGTTTTTTACACTTTTTTTAATCAAAGCCTATAGATTTTCTATGGGATTTAAGTTGGCCAATCTATAACTTTTAGCATACTTTTTAAAAAATTTTTTTGACAAGATAACTTATAAACTTTAAATTGTTATTCTATTATTATTATTATTAAGTATCAAACTTTCTTTTTATCTTGAACATATGTTTATAAAGAATATTGACATAAAACTTGATATTTATGATTTCTTGAAAACAATATAATCTTGATTTTCCTTTCCAAAAAAATTCATCCATATTATAATTTTTTTATAATTTTTTGTAAATAAAATAAATAATATTTGTATATATAAAAACTGTATTTTTTTAAATTATCATTAACATATTTGAGTTTTTATTTAACATATATTTATTTATAAATCTCAATAAGCATTGAAATTTTTTTTAATAAAATTATTTTTATATCCAATTGTTATCAAATACTATTAAATTATTTTAAAAAAATCTTTATTTTTTTTTATATTGATTTTATAGTTATAACTTTTATTAAAATTAAAGATTTATTATAAATATATTAACTTATTGTTTATATTATAAATTTAATAAATCTCTTTAGTTATATAATATCTTTTATATAAATATTTATATTATTTTTATATATATAAAAATCTTTTTCATTCATTACACATTTCTTAAAAATTTTCTTTATAGAAAGTTTTTTTTTTTTGAGAAAAACTTTATTAAAAAACTTATAAATACATTAGTTAGTAGTATTATACTGTACTCTTTTTGGAGATATAGTTCTTATTAGTAAAAAAACTATAAAACCAAAATCAATTTTCTTTATTCTCAAACAAGTCACCTTTGATAGTAAACTGAAAGTATCAGTATGATTTGTATTGGCTTTTTAATAACAAAAAGTTAAATAATATTTATTATATAGTTAGAAAATACAAGCTAACAAAATATAACAACAATATTGACATAACAAAACAAATAATTACAAATAGAAATAAAAATCAAACATTCTTCACTTTTTTTTACAAATTTTATTTGTGATACAATATTCAATCTTCTATTTAGGATTGAATATTTTATGACTAAACTTTATCTGACTATAATAAATAACAATAGTAGTATTTTGCTTAAAACAGAAAACAAATAATCAATCCTAGTTAGAGATTTTTCAAACTAAATAAAGATTATTAAAAAGGTATAAAAAGTATAAATCAATTACAAATTAATATAAAAATTATAATAGTATACAAAATGGCCTTTTGTAGTTTTACAAATTTACTTTATAAGTTTTAAAGAATTTTTTTGCAGATTATTATAGATATTCACATGTAAACACATATATATACTTTTATTTTTACTTTTTTAATTTTTAATAGACTTAGTTAGAACCAATAGAATATAACTAATCTACAATTAATTATATATGAATAGTTTTCTAAGTTCTTATTTATTAGATACAAATAAGAAATTAGAATTATATATCTTGGCAAATTAGTTCTTTATTTATACTATTAGAACTTCAGTATTAATAATATAGGAAATATGAAAGGCAACAAGCTGATCAATAAAAATTATACATGTTTTTTTATTATCATAAAAGAAAATTTAATTGATAATACAATTTCAAATTAAATACAATTTCCAATTATTTATTAATTGTTACTTAGTAATATGAATATAATATGATTTTTGAAAAATATTTGAATTAAATATAAATATATATATTATAGAGATTATAATAATTCAGTTTAAATTAGTTTTAACTAAAACTGAAACCAATCTGATTTATTTTTTTTAAACTGAACCAATTTTAAAACCAATAGTTTTAATTTTTTGTAAACTGATCCAATCTGAAAACTATCAGTTTTAATTTTTTATTTATTATTTTTTTTTTAAGGCTAAGTTGCAATACACGCATGGATTTATTGATATTTCAATTACGATCACAATTACCTATACCTAATGTTAACCCACGCAATCCATTCTTTTTACCAGAATACTAACTAACACCTTGGAGGTGGGTCCATACCCTGGCTTTTATCACTATGTGATAGTTCTATAACTGCCTA